AACAGTTATTCACACCATAAGTGAGTATCATTAATGAACACAGTAGGTATGCTCTATAGTAAGAATGCTATAGTGTATATAACCACTTTAAGGGCACTCTTCAATTCTAAACTGAATGAAAAAAATGAATTAAAGCAAGGGGCCTCCCCAGTGGCGCAGCGGTTGAACGCTGGGTTGCAAAGCTGCCCGCGGCCTCTGCGGAGCCGGTTCGATCCCCGGCTGCTCCCCGGCTGCTCCCTGGCTGCTCCCTGGCCACCGGAGGAGGGTCCCACATGGCGCGCAGACCTCTCCTGCTGCCCGCTGCTCCCCTCAGCAGTGTACTTCGGTCCTTCTGCCTGCTCTGCTCCCCGCTCTGGCTCTGGTGAATTCTTTCACCCTCCCGCGCTTCTGACTGTACCCAGTGCTTGTATAAACAAACAAATAAATAAATAAATAAATAATGCATGCCTCTTTAAAAAAAAAAAATGAATTAAAAAAGCGCTACTTCAATTTCTGTACTGGGGCAGTGTTGCGAGGTTGTATTTCATTGTTAACAGCTTATTGCTGAGAAGAAATATTAGAATAAATTAGTGTTTACACAGCCACAGTTAAATCAGAACTAAATAAAAAGACCAGTCTAGCTCAGATTATAATTTCTCTAATTGTCAGCTTTTCCATCTGGGAAATGAGGACACCAAAATCACCTCTAGAAATAAGGATAAAGTACTTTAAATGGTAAATAGTACTGAAAGAATAGATGATACTGGGTGCTATCTTTTTAAATCTGTTTTCAATACTTCTATCATGACTCATCTATACAAACTATACAGAAACAATGGTCCTCTGTTCAAACAGAATGAAAATCTTCAATGAATTAGACTATGTTGTACTTATCTGGTTACTGATATTAAAGTATTTCCACAATCAGTTGCTGTATCCTTGGAGGAGAGGGGAAACAGGATCTATTGACCTATTTTCTTAAAAGAAAATGGAACACTCCAAAGCATGCATCCTAGGGAGTCAACTACATCCACATGCATATTATACAAACACATAAATGTAGCTATAAACAAACACTATACCAATTACCAAGTCATTTTCAAAGTATTTATAAGGTAAAGGTCTACAATTCAGGTTCCTTTACTGACTTACTCTTCCACAAGTAACTACAGCTGAAGAGATTATTTTGCTTACTGTCCCTCCACGAACATTAGCTTTTATCACTCGACATTCCCCAACCCTCTTCTTCAGGAAAGCCAGACACCTAGGGGCATTTAAGACCTAGGCCCAAAACAACTGTCTAGATCAGCATGAACTAGAAGACATCTGAAGAGTATGTGTGAAGAATAGAAACTATATGGGCCTCCCCGGTGGCGCAGTGGTTGAGCGCTGGGTTGCGAACCTGCCTGCAGCCTCTGCAGCGCTGGTTCGATCCCCGGCTGCTCCCTGGCCACCAGAGGAGGGTCCCACATGGCGCGCAGACCTCTCCTGCCACCCGCTGCTCCCCTCAGCAGTGTACTTCGGTCCTTCTGCCTGCTCTGCTCCCTGCTCTGGCTCTGGTGAATTCTCTCACCCTCCCACGCTTCTGACTGTACCCAGTGCTTGTATGCATGTATGTATCAATCAATCAATCAATCAATCAATAAATCTTAAAAAAAAAAAAAAGAATAGAAACTATGGAAAACAGGCCAAGTCCAGCCTGCTGCTTGTTTTTTTTAAAAGCAAGTGTTCCTATAACACTAGCACCTATGTCTATCTTCTGTGGAGGGTCTAGGGCTGCTTTGCACTACAATGGCAGGTTGAAGAGTTGAACAAAGACCATTTAGCATAGGAAACCTAAAATATTTACTATCTGGCCATTAGTGATAAAATTTGTATGTGTTTTACCAAACCCTGGATATCAAATGTCAGTTTTATAAGGAAATTTCTGTGAATGAAAAAATACCATAGGTATTAAAGGAACAAGTCACATGAGAACTGCCCTTTCCATCCCATCTCCTAGTGCAGTAAATTCAAAGTGGCCTCTCCAATTTAGTTCATTTGCTGACATAGGACTAACTCATGGCAAGTTTAAAGGTATCAATATATGCAATTATATTAAGGGTACTTTTTTTTTAAAAGAAGGAATACTATCTTCAAGACTCAGGAACCAGGCTTGCTTTGTGCACATTTCCAAAAACACACATTTCTTAAAAGGTCATTTTATATATTCTAGTGTTAATTAGTTTATGGGCTTTTTCCCCCATTTATTTGGAAGTTTACTATAACTGCCAACAGACATAAAGAAACATTGAAGGACATTTAAATCTTAAGTGATGTGACAATGCTTCTGAAAAAGGAACTGATAAAAAGATCCAAATCTACAGACTGGAAAGGTATTAGGTTTTAGCTATCTATACTTTCTGTGTTACACATAATCAAGGATAATCTGGTACTAAAGAATACATAGTAGCGATTTTCCTAAATTTACATTTTGTTAAGTAATATAAACTGATGACCTGTAAACAATTATATTTAATGTTTAGTAAAACTAGGAAATGGGATTTTTAAAATCACTTTCTACAGCAAGCTTTTTAAATTTAAAAATTTAAAATAAACATCTGCAAACATCTAGATTACAATACAATTAAAACCATGACAGTTAAGAAAACTAGTATCTTTATAATTTCTCACCAAAACCAAATCATACAAAGAAAACAAAAAGAATCCACTGACTTACTCATTAAATTTGACTAACTTCTCAACTCTCTTTGCAAAATGAAACATTTCCACAGTTTCTACTATACTTTGTATGCAAAATACTTTCACAATCTGAAATACATAACTAATATTTCACAATGCTACTTGAAAACCAAGTTAGATAACATTTCTAAAACTGCCTCATTTTTTCAGTCTAGTTTATTAATGTATGAATTTGTTTTCAAAATAAATTGCAACACTCAACAACTTTATATGTATTATAAAGTTTGATTATTTCAACAAAAATAACAAGGCCACTAGGTATTTTACAGAAACATTCAGATCAATCATATCATTATATTTTATAACTCATCATTATATGAATAATCATATTACATAGTAGTAACAAAGTAAAACTCAAAAAACACAAGCCAAGAAAATTTGATCTTCACACAAAAACATCCCAACAATTATTTAAATTTTACTAACACAGTAATGCTTTAAATTACATATTTTACTGTTTCCAGGGCCATACCCATTTGTCAGCAATAAACTTGAGCTCCGAAGACACTTGTATAAAGGTGCTTCAGTGATTCAACATTCTTCCTTGAGTTTGTTCTGCTCAATTAATGAACCAAAGTGGAATTATATGTGTTCATGTATTAATACATGAAATATATTACTACCTAATATACAAGACTTTACAATAGGCCTTAAATATTTGCTTTATTAATTACTTTTATATTTTCTTAGTTCAAATGCACTCAAAAGGTACTGCGCTGTATACACTGAATTTCAACATCAAAACAAATACTTAAAACAGTATGAACTCAATAAATTTAACAAAATTTTAGTTCTAATAAACAATATAAAAATATTTATGTCTACATCTTAAGCACTTACCATACTAATTTAAGGCAAGAAAAGGATGAAGATATGAAAGGATGTTAAAACTGAATCCAATTTCTGATAAAAATAACTGGTTACAAATTTTTATTTCTGTCAAACAATGTTGTTCTTGGAAATAGAATATGAACCAACACAGTAAGCACTTGAAAAATGATTCAAATTATGAATTAAATGTTACTTATAAAGAAAAGCATAAAAAAGATTCTGTCCGCAAACTGATACAGAAACTCAAGTGGTCTGCTCAAATCCATTGAATTATAGAATCAAATTAAGACCTGAGCATTTCCCAACTCATCCAAGCTTGCCTGAGGTTTTTAAAAAACAGTTACAGTCATACCTAAGACACAAGACCCCCTTCCCTCTGTAACACTGAGGATTTTGCTGAAGCATATCAGAGGATACACACAAACTTTGCAATGGCAAGGAAGAATGGATGAGAAGGGCAGGGAAGGAGGACAAGCAGCAGAGTATAAGGAAAAAGGAAAATACAGACCAGCAGACATTCACAGGTTCTGTGTCCCTTATGGTGACATAACCCAAGTCTACATTCTCTAGATAAAAAGCCTTCAACTCTGGTCCAGACTCCCCCCAGATTTCTCACCTCTATGGTCATGGCCAGGGTCTGGAGGTGAGTGAGGAAGGCCTACTCCCAATAAGCCAACAATGGCATTTATACTATAACTCTGTTAGAGTCTCTGGTTTTAGTTTGCAGTTCCTGTCTTTTTTAAGGCTCTTTCTCTTTGAAAATGACTAGTTGAGATATATAAATGCCCTCCAAATTTTATATAATTTCATAGAGCCACTGGACATTAGCATAAGCCCTTGTACTCTACAGTATTATCAGTGCTGAATTTTACACTATGCACCAGTCTACCCTGCCACCCAGAGGGCCAAAGCCTGTGAAGTGTTTCTTCTCCAGGAAAGTATGAGTTCAAAATAATTTCTAAAATGCAACCCCTACCACAAGATATACAATTTATTTCTATGATAATTTCTTCTAAATATATTAATCATTTTTAAGAAAGTATTTTATATACTAAAAGGTTAGACTACAATAAAGAGGGCAAAACTGTAAAATTACTATTCCAAAGGCATAAAACCAGTTCAAGAAAAGTATTCCAATGCCAAGCATCTTCATAGATTTCTTCAGAAAAGATACTTGCTTGTTTAATGAATATAACACCCTGCTAAAAAAAAGACAGCAGCATAAACTTCAGCAGTAAGTTATTTTTTATTATAGACTGATGTACAAAATTAAAATATAGAATAATTTCCCTAACTAGATTTTCTCTCGTTTTATGCCATATTGACTTTTGCTGTATTCAACTGAGGAATTCAGGATCAATAAACTAAATGTATTAAGGAACAGACAGTGTCAAACATACCTATTTATCAAGTGCTTTCAAACCAAAACTATAGATATGAATACTTACTTATCAAAGCTATCACTATTTTTGATGAAGCTCTCCAGCTTTTCCTTGGCATATTCCACCACATCTGAATGAAGCTCAATCCCATGATTTATTCCAAAAGGACCTGCAATTGTAGCAGCAGCATTTTTATAAAAAATATTAAAAAGATCATTACAGAGCTCTTTTAATTTTTGCTCATTTATCATAAGAGCACTTAAAGAAGACTTGAACTACATGGAGATCTATTAGCCCAAATTATAAGGTGAATGGATCCTATTCACATTTAATTGGGGGAAAAAAAAAAAAACTAAGTTCTACAGTTCTCTAACTTATCTGAAAAGACATCACCACAAAATTAATATTTCTATATAAAGATGGTTTTTTACTATAAATTCACCTCTGTTAAAAATTTAGCAATCCTAAAATGCCCCAAGACCATGGGTTCACATATATATTATAAATGTCTCATGGCACCCCACCACTACTCCCCAGGAAGTGTTAAATCCTTTGAGGGCCAAGGCCACAAACATTCTGCGCCTCTTGGGTCCCCACTGTGTAGCAGAAAGTGGTCCTCAGGCACATCCTGAAGAGCTTTTACTCTTCTATTCCAACAGACAACACACTTCTTACTCAGTATTTAACACACAGCCAAGGATGTGTGCCATTCCAGAAATCGGGAGTGAGTTTTCTCAGACCTACGACAATCTTGGGATGGCTCCTCTCCCCACCCTGGTGGTGGTTCACTGAGACTATGGACAGGATTTCAATTTCCTAAGGCTACTGTGCATGCTGCCTGACCCACGACGTGAAAGTAACAATCTAAATCTAGTTATACTTCAAGTTTCTGAACGTTTTCCACTCTATTTATTTGCTGTTTTTGAGATTGGTCTCTTAGTAAGTGTACATTTATTTTCTATGCCTCACATCTACTTAAATTTCTATATCTTGCACATATCTTAGGAACTACTTAGCATACTACTGAACATCATTAAAAATACTGTATCAGAGTTCTACCAAACTCCACAGTCATGAATTATCATATTTAAATGTTCAGAGGACAATCAAAAAGTGGCTTGTAATCTAGAAATGCCGAAACTATAAAAATTAAACCAAAATATTAGGTACTTTCTCCATCACTGCATTTAATGTTATTAAAAAAATTCTAATCACAAAGTATATTCAGACAAAAAGATTTAAAAAAAAAGTACTTGATGCATCTAATTTCAACAGATAGAACTAGCTTTCTTTATAGTGACCTTATACCTTTTAAAATAATTTGTTTTGACTGCTGCAATCTTAAATGTTTCTCTCATTTTTTGTTTCCATTAGCCTTCATCTAAAAAACTGGAATATCCCTCCAAGATCATTTCAAGACTCATAATTCCTTATTACCACAAACTGACTAAAACTAAATTTTTCCCCAAAAAATAAACAAAAGTGGCAAAAAAAAAAAAATTTGAAAAGCACAGTGATGTCCTCTTCTGATTTAGTACTAAAAGTTAATATTTTGAAAACTTTAATTTTCATAAATAAACAAAATGTCAGGAAAAAATAAAGTATTCCTCAATTTAGAAACTTTAAGACTACAATTATTTTATATTACATTCACAGTAAGGAAAATAGTTATAGGAAATGAATCTAACTTTCACTAAATATTGTTATTAAATATTGTTCATTAAAACATAAGACTTTGTCATCTTCATTTTTCATTAAGAATCTAGTTATACTAATTAACTATTTATTATGAAAAAACAAAACTAGGGCTACATGGACAAGACATCAATAAAAAAAGTTAACATTGCTAGAATTTGAAGTTTTCTATTAGGCCAAATGCAGAAGCATTATGAGAGGTGTTAAGAACCTAGAAATCAAGGTTTCTTGGCCAAAAGAGACAACACAGGCTGTTTGTCACTTAAAGACATCATTGTTTTTTCTTTCCTTTTACTTGCTTTCTGCTTATTCTCTAAAGCAAAGTGACTTTTAGAAATAAGCTTTACAAGAAAAAATCTTAAGAATGTTATATAACTTGTTTTTCCTATAACCTTGACACAAAATGACAATTTCATTAGCGTAAAAGATTTTTTGAACAGTTATCATTAATGCATACGTAGAATATACTACACATTAATTTCTAGTATAAAATATCACAACTTTAGAGATGGAATTGCTCAATTTTAAAATTACATGGATACTTTATGACTACTTAATATACTGAATATTAAATAACACTGAAAATAATCAATTAAAAAGAAAAATACATTAAAAAAGGCAGAAGTTAAACAGCAAAGTCACCAATATCTCAATATTTATTTAGAATGTGGTATACAATTAGAATACATCAAATGTAAAATAAAAATATAGTGCAATGCTGTTTATTACAACTCAGTTACATCTGTATTAAATGCAACAGAAAATTAAAACAGAAAACTGAAAAAGCATACATAGTTGCTTCCAAGGATAGGAACCAAAGTCCAGGGTGGAAAGGAGATATTTTCATCATTACACCCTATTGTCTGAAACATGATTTAACCACATGCCTATATTTTTTTTTCAATTAAAAATGGACTAATCAAAGAGATAGTGTAAGATTTTCAAATAAACTGAAAAACGTGACTGTGTGTATGTACAAACACACGGGGCTGTGAGAAATGTACAAGCTGTCAATGGATAAATGTAACAATATTCAAAAGAATGTGCTAACACCATCAAGCATAAAATTAATTTTGCATTCAATAGATTCCAATATTATTTTGTATTTGCAACTGATTTTTCTAAAACATTCAACAGTTGACTATTTTAATAGCTAAATATTAAAGAAAAAATAGAAGCATACACAGATGTTTAAGATAGTTAATAGAAAAACCTAGGTATCCTATATTAGAAATTACTTATAAGACTGACAATAGTCAAATTAGTAAGAGTACTAACAAGTAAATAAAATCTGAATATAATAAACTGTTTTTCTGATGTAGTAGTTGGATCTAGTTTATATATACTGTATATCAGGTAGTCAATAATCCAAGTTTATAAATGAAAGTCAATAATTATTAGTTAACTGTCAATTAACTATCAATGCAGTTATGTTTTTTTATTTGTACCTATGTTAACACCATGTAATTTCCAACACTGTAGCTTTTCTCCCTCCCCTCTCTGAAATCCTTAAATTGTTCACATGTAATATACAAGATAGAAACCTACTTGAGGAAGGCCAGGGAAATCTGAGATTCACATGACATCTTGAAGTTCTCAGTACCTTCAGTTTTTTGTGTAAAGCTATTTTATAAAATACAAGCCCAAGCAAAAGGTAAGTAATAACACACAACAAGACTAGCTCTAAAGGTGAACTAATTTGAGATCCATCATTTCAGTTGAGGATTTTGAAATCTAAACACTTGTGGAGTGGTGAGAAAGATTTAAACTCAGATGTCTTTCCAATCCTCCTCCTAATAGGTGTATCATGAGACCAATTATTTACCATTTGAAGCCTTTCCTAGATATAAAAAATGGGCCCTGAGAAACATGCCATTTGTCAAAGTGCTTCACACACAGCTAAGTAAAAGATGGGTAGGTATTCTTAACAATTACAATGTACCCTCTCTTTATATACAAGTGGTTAGTTGTAGACTATGAACTTCAAGTGGTTCTCAACTCTGACTGTGTATCAGAGTAACCTGGGAAGTTTTTAAAGTTCTTAATTCATTTTAATTAAAAATTTAATTTAACTGAAACTGTAAATGTCTGGATCCCATACCAGACATGTATCTCAAGGTGTCCAGGCTCTAAAGGGAAACCTAACATGCATTTGGGGTCTAACACACTAGCCATACTTTCCTAATTACCACAAAGCCCAACTGAAATGATTGCTAAAATGTCTTTGGACTATCCAAATTTCTGTTTCCATTGGTAAAGTGATATTGAGAGTTAGTTACTGAAATAAAAGCATTTTGCATAAAACTTAATAGTTACCACAAGAGGGAGCAGAGGAATCGGTTACTTAGTTTCTATGAAACTATTATGAAGTTCTTAATAAGAACTACAATATACATGTAAAAACATCATTCAGTAAGTTACAATATTACTAATGTTAGTCATACAAAATAAGGTGTCTCTCGCACACTGCAGAGGTGGCAGCGAGAGAGGGATCAGCAGGAGGGAGGGAGGAGCACAGGGGACTGAGGTGATGGTGCATTGGTGAAGGAAACTCTATGGGGACTACACCTGAGGGGGTGGGGGGAAGCAAATATTGCTTAAAAATGAACAATGATGTAAAAAATTTAAAAATAATAAAAGTGAAAAAAAAATTACTAAAATCCTAAAAAATAAAAAATAAAATAAAATAAACAAAATAAGGTGTCTAGGAATATTTATATGTAACTATGAGAACTCAAAAGACAGTAAAAGATAAAAAGGAGACAAAAATAGATTTCATTCTTTCTGGTGAATATCCCAAAGTATAATGTAGAGGATTAAAATAGTACAACGATAGACTAAGAGAGGAGGAGAAAAACGAATCAGCAAACGATCCAGTTATTATTAACTGGATACTAAGACAAATGATCTAATTGACACTTATAATTTATTCATCCTCTTACATCACATTAAAATAAGTACACTATAGGAAGACAGACACATTCAAACTTCTACTGAATCTTACCATGTTAATCACTCTCAAGCTAGCTGGATATATAAGACTAGACTTTTTCTTTAGGTTTAGGATGGGCCTCATACAGCAAATACTGAAATTTGCTAGAAAGGTCCAGTTCCCGTCCCTTGGATTCTTCTGTTTATGGGTATTAAATATTTGTTAATATAAGCTAAACCTTAGAAATATGTAACATGAAATTTCAAAGCATTGGCTTAAAAAGAATTACAGAGAACAGACCCAAGGCCCCATTTAAACTACACGTCTAAAAGGTCAAAATATGAAATACGGATCTAACAGTAAGATTATTTATATATTTTCACCCACGGTGATAATATTCAAATCTATTATGTTCAGAGCAACTTATGACTATCTTACACCTACTCTGGAACATCAAAATAGGCAGATTAAAATTTCTACCAACGCAAAAAAGTAAAAGAAAAAAGGTCTTCAACTGAGAATTAATGTTAATTTGTAGTTTC